TGAAAAAGCATTCACCCCAAATGAGCTGAAGCTGAGCAAGGAACAGTCTTTTCAAGATGAGGCTTAACCATTGGAAAGGTTGGGGCAGCTTGATACAAGTATAGCATAGGCTATTTTCTGAGAATTACCGCTCGCAGCATGACATGCTCAAAAGGCAGTGTTCAAAGACAATGGTGTTGCTGTACAAGGCACTTTGCAGCATTGGGGTGTTACACCAGAAATAGAGCCATTTCATACTGCGGGAGAGTTTCCTTCCTTGTGTGGGAAAACAAAACATCAAAGAAGTGAGGCCAAGTCTTAAGAGTCTGTTATGAAAGTTATAAGGACCTAAACTTATTTTCTCTTGGGAAAAGGAAACTTCATTTTAGGTATCAGAAGTTTTCAATGCATAGAAGAGATTGGTACTGAACTAGGTTGTCCTATTTCAGATAGTTTCAGCAGCTAGATTTACTCAAATTTGGGGTGGGGGTGTGGAAGCAAAACCATGGAAGTCACTGTTGCTACCCCAGGAGACTTTCCTTTGTGGGATCTGAGTTCTCTTAGGACATCAGCACTGCATGACCCAATTGCATATATAGAAGCTCTTATTCCCCTCTTCAGCCAACGATGCACAGCGATACATGCATCACACAACACTGTTGGCATACAACCTTCCTACAGCCAAGAAAGTTCTGAAGAATACAAGGAAAATTTAAGTATTACCAGATGTCTTCTCCACGTCAAAACATAGACCAAATTCCCATTAAACAGTGCTTATCTTAGTCTTTGCTAGGTAAAGAATTGAGCTCTCCTCCATTAACAGACTAAAACTATTCTCTTTGCTCTGCAAGCTAACTGATGAACCTTACACTAAGGTAAGAACAAAATAAAGAGGAGGCATATTCATGCTCAGCTTTTAATTAGCTACAGTACTTATCAGGAAGAGTCAGGAGGCAAAAGGGAAATTATGTCCTAAAACATCTTTTTTCTTCATTCTCCAGAGGAGCTGAAAGGACTTGACCGAGCTAGCCTCAGTCTTGACCAGGAAAAAAGTACTTCCCATTACTTCCAAAGAACTGGAAGTGAACATCTTTATATGTGATAGTATCAGAAAACCTGCTTTCTTGGATTACTTTTTTTCCCCCCCCTTCATATCACACCCATGTTCTTCCTGCTCAGGAAATAATTGATAATCCTGACATAGGCAAAGGAGGTACAAAAAGTATGACCCATTTTCTAGGCTACCAACACATAGGTTCAAACTCCAAGAGCTGTAGGAAGTACAGAAATCACAATCCCTTGACCAAAGCAAAGGGAGCATGCTTTATTTCTGTATGTATTCAAGGTCTGTAACCATAGAGTTTGATAACTAAGTCTGCACCTATGAAGGAAGTTAATTCAGTGCAGTTCTCGCAATTGCAAAGGCTACCCTAGGGGCAAAAAACTAGAATAAGTGAAATAGACAAAATTTTTGTACATGTATATATAGCTACTCTAATGCTCAGTTTATATTGAAAACACCCATTCAAATGACTTCCAATATTATCTAATATTAATTTCAATATTTCTAATATTGAAAACACCCATTCAAATGACTTCCAGAAAAAGGTTTTCGTATAGCCTCCAGACAGTTCAGCAACACTGATAAAATTTTAGTAAATACACGAACTTTGAAAAATTGGCAATACAGATAGGACTACGGTAGCATTCCTGAGTGTCACAGTGGCTTGAATAAGTCGAGAGATTCTACTTCCTAGGTAGCTGCACAGATAACTAAATTGCAATTTACCAGAGTAATTGAAAAATTCTGTGAAATGTTTTGTCACTTGTTATTTACCCACGAAATCAGGAAGAAGCTTAAGTTATTTGAAACTACGACATTTTATATTTGATAGGGAGAAGAACAAACACTATCAATCAGCAATTTCAGAGACGTCAGATGGCTGAAGATATTTCTATTCCTTTCCACACATTTGAATCAATAAAGAAATCATACATGCAACAATCAAGTTATTCAGCATCCTTCCAATCCTGCGTTTACCTTGTAAATGTTTTTCAGTTAAATAAGAACTATAAGGCCATTTGATGATTTAATGATAAGCAATCAAACTGTCATTCAGGGCAACACGCTGGCATATGAATTTCACTGCAGCAAGTGCAAGGTTATACACAATGGAAGAAACAATCCAGCTAAACAGGCACATGCTGATAGGTTCTAAAATTAACTGAAACTGTTCAGCAAAAACAGTACGTTAAGGGTTAAGATGAACAGCTGACTGAGAACATCTGCTAAAAATGGAAGACAACAGAGAAAATTATAAGAGAAAGACAAAGAATAAATATTCCAAGTACTGTCCTGTGGGGATAGGCAGCTCGACGACAACGACCGAGCCTTGTGCCCTTGAGGCACGAGAAGGCACGTGGCCAGAGGACAACGGAAGAAGTACTGAGCTGCTGAAGAGGAGTAAGCAGGATGGAGGCCGGGAAGGCATGTCGCGTGATCAGAAGAACCGGCCAATCCGCTAGAGCATAGACGCGCGTGAACACAAGGCCGTAACCTGTCCGTGAGCTGCTGATAGCGCATGAACCACTTGAGCTTTGTATAAAAGGAGGAGTTACACCGTAATAAAGGGTCTTTGGTTGCGTGCCTGACAGAGACCACGCCCTCAATCCCCACACTGTCCCATTGTTTAAGACTGTTATGAGACTTCCCCTTGTACATTTGTCTCGAGACTTCTGTAAAGTGAGCAACTTGCATCTACATGAGGTAAGAATCTTCACTGCTGTGGTCTTCTATAGCCCTGAAAGAGATCAATCCAGATACCTGGACCACAATAGCAGAAAGCAGAAGATTTTGGGAAAGACAAAGGGGCTCAAAGTATAAAATCCTACCTGTGAAGAGACATTAAGAGACATTACATTTATTTTTATTTAGAATTATCTGACCGTCACCTGGATTTTACATTTTTCAATTAGAATGAGAAGAGGGAAGAAAGAAGATGGCAATACCAAGCACGAGCTAATGAAAAGGAAATCTAAGTTCTCATTCACACAGACAGAAAATGAAGACAAAAAGTTGAAACAATGGAAGAGCTGAATGATCTGTGAATCGGGTTCGCTTTGCCGCTTTCAAGTTAGAAAGAACAAAATATCAATCTTTTGTTGTTAAGGACAAGATATGGAAGAGTATAGGGGCACAACTCCATTTTACAGTTGGGAAACTAGAGAAGCAACTTAGTATGAGAATCTGATCTTACAAGTCAGGATCTGCAGAACTGAACTATGCATTATCCTTATGAAAAGACATTTCATGCTCAGATAATCTACTAGAGAACAGTAGAGAAAACCATATCAGTTTGTGGCCACTAAACTGACTCACAGCATTATTGTCCACATTTAAGCTATAGTCACATAAAAATTAAAGGAATACCACTTCTACTAAAGAAATGACTAATGACCATTTTTGCATTGATTTGCATTTTTAAAGGTATATTTGTTATTAAAGCTAAACTGCAACAGGCATTTAAAGTCACTTTTTTTCTTTCAAGAAAAGCAATTTTAATCACGTTTGTGTCAATGAGTCAATCTGATTGAAGAAAAAATAATCATACAAAAGACAATACAGAGCAGCAGTCCAAGAAAAACAAACAAAAAACCACTTATCACTGCTAAATGATGGAATGATTTCTGAAGGACAGTAAGGTTGCAGCTGTACTATCAAAAATGAGTAGCACTTATCTGGCTGTATGAGCAAATTATCACTGCCTCTACAGACCAACTGGTTGTTGCTGATGAACCAGTATGGCTTGGAGGAAGGAAAAAAAAAAATCTCAGACTGGATATTGACAGAGAACTACTGAGAAATTTTTGTTGTCAGGCCAATACCAAACCTCAAAAGGCAATCCTGTAAACAATATACTCTTCCTATGGTACTAAACACTATGTATGTGCAAAGCAGATTGATAAGAAATTCTTTGAACAGAAAGATATTATAGGATCACGGATACAATGGGTGAAACAGACCAAAATGCAGTAATAATCAAAATAATCCAATAGTCCAAGTAAAACCAATGTTGTATGGTTGGCACTAATTCAAGAAAATAAAAATAAGAAAGCTGCATGAGAATCAAGTTAGAGTAAATGATCACTTACTGGGATTGTCTTGCTACATCCACGTCAAGAGCAGGTCATTGTCAGAGTAACTTCAGCTCTTTCTGAAAGATGATCAGTACTGTTCTTCAAACAATGCAAAATCCTATGAAATACAGTCACCGCCTGCGACTTAAGTAAATGCTACACTGATGAAATCAGAAGCGTTTTAAATGTTTACTCAGTCACTGATTATAAGCTGAAACCTTACTATATAAAAAGTAGCTGTGTTAGTTGAGCAGGACTGGATAGTTAGAATAAAATGTCAAATGTCTATCCGAGAGTGGGTCACTTCTAATAGCGGATTATTATAATTATTTATGGACATTATAATCCCCAAAGAAAGAATATTATGCTTATAAATTACTTAATTTAGAAGAGTAAATAAAAGACAGTTAAAACCACATAAATGATGAAAAACACCATATTTCTCCACATAGTGCCAATTCCTTAATTTTGTCCCTTCACAGATTTTTTTTTTAATCTTTTTAAAGAATTTAAGGATATACAAGTTTTAACATGTACTCATTTTTTCCACTCAAAGTTATGGTAAGTATACCGGCCACCTGAAAAAAGCAACTTAAACCATTCTACACAGGCATAGTTCTTACTGCACAATGGGTAAATTATGAACACTTTCAAAGACACCATTCCTTAAAAAAAACAAAAAAAAAGATTCAGACACAAGCTTTCCTGAACCGTATTTCAAGCTTTAATGGAGTCAGAACTGGAAACCATCAGAACAAATTCTATACATCTATATACAGACTTCAGAGCATGACTAAGTATCTATTACTTCTTATATACAATCAGCTGAAATAATACAGTGGAAAAATGTCCTAACTAGGAAATACAAACATGCTTTTGCAAGATTATTTAGCTGTTTTTGACCGTAGCCGTCGCTTGATGATTAGATGATCACTTTCCTTCTCTTTTTGTTCTATAAAGATCTGAAAAAGACATTATTTCAAGAGTTACTCAGCATTTCTTCAGAGACACGTGACATGCACTTCCAGATCCATGTAACCAACAACATGGTTTTTCCCAGAAGCTGTTTTCAGAATGAAATTTGCTTATTATCTTTTAGTCAGAGGTCTCCAGGATAGAGAGACCATTTTAGCGCATCGTAATAAGCAACAAATACTGGGAACATACAAAATCCCACTTCTGCTGAAACAAATACCAAAGTCCAAAGAAAAATGTGATCCAAAAGCAGCTCTCACTTCTAATCTCTAATACTCATTTTGTGAGACAGGAAGCATTCAGAAAATGTATTTTTAGCTTAAATTCCTTTAGCTTTCTCTGATTTTTCCAGGATGCAGTCTTTCAGTTTTCCTTTCACTTCCAAGCTTCTCAGCTTCTTTTGGTCTGCATTTCTCATTTTTTTCATCCTCCTATGGACAGCATTTTGGTTTCTGCTGCATCCATCCATACAATTTACAGAAAATTCAATAGGGTATCTCAGTATGGGCAAACGCTCACCATAGTGCAGGGAGAATGAAGAGGTGTATTTCCAACAGAGCAAGAGTACACTCAGCACTATAGTTACTGTCAAAGCCATAAAGTTGGACTTCAGAAACAATGCATTAAGCCCTGGCCTGTAAGACTCTCTATAGGCTGGCTTAGACAGAGCAACACAATTTAAGCACACCCAGAAGGCTACCTAAACTGTTCTTTGGGAAAGCATGGAGGTATCCACATCCTAAAGTAACCCAAACATCAGCTGGGCATAAACGGAACTGGAAATTACCTTAGGAGCTCGCTTGCCCTGCAAAGTTAATTGTACATGCAGACCTTTATCTTTAGTATTTCGATCATGCTATTCCAAATCTATGGATCCTTTAAAGGTCTCTATTTCTATTCTCCCTTTATGCTACACTTAAATGAACACCAACTGCTGCAAAACCAAATTAAGACTCAATTGCTGTAGCAGAGGAAAAAGTAATCCTCCACATACCACAGCTAAGAAGATATCTATGAATCCAAATTTAAAGATATCTCCGTGATTGCTGTATCACCTATACAGTACGTCAGCAGTCAAACACAGAGGAGATAGGTGAGAAAACGGAGAAAATTAAGTAAAACCACAGAAAGAAAAGACCAAAAGGAATGGTTAGGTAGAATCAAGAAATAAATCAGTACTTTCAAACCTCTTCTGCAATTTGATCAGACCTTCAGGTTTGTTCCGTCCCCCTAATAGTTTATTTTAAGCCAAGATTACAGAAATACATTACAGTGGACAGAACAGTAACCTGTAATCACGTACCGAAGAAGCAGGGATATCTAGAGGGCAAGAAATGTCAGTTGAATACAGCTTTCTCTTAGCTCGTTTTGGCTTGAGCTCGTTTTCTTTGACGCTTTCTGGTTCTGCAGACTTGGGAGAGCTTATTGTCGCAATCAGCTTCTTTGCTAGAAGAAAAATTTTATTGTAAATCAATGTCTTACTGGTTTTGTGAGCCTCAAAATTAATGTATAAAGCAACCTTTATCAAAAACAGCTTAAAAATGAAACAGATGTAGTCTGAACTTCAAATATAAAAATTCAGAAGTGGTATTTGACTACCACAGTTTTCTATAGCTTCAGATGCAAAAGCTTAAAGGACACATCTAAATAGCACATTCAAAATCAATTAGGATTCAGATTTCACTGGAAGTTAAATACTTTAACAGGAGTTGAACAACAGGCTTAACTTCTTTGTGCTGACAGAAGCACAGGGTAGAGTCATTTTTCTCTACATACTTGTATAGTTTTAATCAAACTAGTACTAGGTCTATAAAGAGATGAACATATGCATATTATGAGCTAGAAGGAAAGAAGAAATCCCAAACAATATAAGTTATGCAAAAGAGGGAAAAAATTACAGGACATAGTAATAAAGGTTACAAACTTGAGCTCATTTGCTCAAATTAAGTATTTTTAGAGTGAAATTTTGAGTAGTCTGAATTTGGCTTCCATTGATAATGGTATGTTGTCCTCATGGAACCAATCTAACAAACCTGGAAAATTTTAAAAATCCCACTATCATCATCTAGACTATCTTAGAGCAGATGAGTAAAACGTACTCTGTAGCAAGTCAAGTTTAAGTTGGTACAGAGATCTTAATTTTAACTGTCCACATTGAATAATGACTGACCTTGTTTTAACCAACCCAATAACAGTGTCTTTTAGAATTTAACGCTGGTGATTCCTTGTGCCCTCTGCTAATTTTAACCTCTTTTTTTTTTTAAAAACACAGTAACTCAGAGATCATGTCTTACTGTAGGAAAGAATAAAATTATATTCTTCAATGGAAAGTCCTAGCAGTTAATCTTCCCAAGCCTATGCTTATAAACTTAACGAAATCCATTAATTGCTTCATAGTCAGTTTATTGAAGTCTTCCAAATATTTTCATAAGACACCAGCTTTCAGATTCTGTAGAACTAATCTTCCCCTCCCACATACATACATCAAATAATTAATACAGTTTCCACAGAAACAAAGCCGGGGGCGGGGGGGAAGAGGGATTGCTTATAGAACAAGGTAAGATTTGGAGTTTGAATTCAGCTCTTGATTTTTTTAGAGCAGTAAGGCAAGTTTCTGAAATTGTCTTTAACTGTTTTACTGCAAGCTTAACAGTTATAATTGCTTTTATGATAAATTTATATGCACATATTGCACACTGAGTCCTTTCATTCCACCTGGTTTACCTTTCACACCTAACCTAAACTTTAGAACCCTGTGGTCCTTGCAATCAAGACAGCCTTTCCTACTCTGCAAGATTCAATATAGCAAGCTCTAGTTCAGACTCCATTATTTCATAAATAAAAGAACAACTTAATGCAGCAAACATGTCCTTTAACAACACATGCATTAATAGATTACAGTAGAAAAGCCATTATACAATGACCAGAGAACATGGAATAAACCTTATTTATTCTGTACAAACCTTTAGAGTGAATAATAGTAGGAGAACTTTGGAAGAAGTCTCCAATTTTTTGCAGTGTTCCATCTTTCTTTTTAGCTGACTTTTTACTTGAAGTAGATTCTTGCTTTCTTAAGGGGTATTCTTTTCTAAATGAGTGTGTAGCAGACATCTGTACAGAAATACAAGATTGTTTAAGTTGAAAATTGATTTATCTTCAAGTTTAATTCCATTTTATTTGGCTTCAATGTTATTTTCAAGCTGACATTTTGAGCTTTGCTACTGACACCTCTGGTCATTATACTAACAATACTACCATAGCAAGCAACGTAGACAACCTCATTTTATACCCAGAAGAAAAAAAATTGTCAAAATTTCACAGAATACATTTAAGGGCATGAGTAACACAGGAAACAAATAGTTTCTTTAAAAAAAAAGTAGACTCAAAGTTGTAGAGTATTTCATTAGACAAGCTGTTCTAGTTATAAATAAAACAGGAGGAAACTGATGGGGAAAATAAATCTACTACCCAGCCTCTGAACCTGCCCAGGTTGCTACTAAGGCCTAAAATCATCTTTTTATAATTGTCACACATATAGAGGACATGAACCTTAGTTTTCCTCCAAAGGCATTGCCTATAACATCACATATACTAATAGTATGTTCAAACTAGTCTTCATAACTATTCAATATGCAACATTCTTCCCTTTGAATCATTGTACGCTGCAGCTAGTACGCATTCTTGACAAATACAGACTTACTCTCTTTAGTTAGCTTATAGAGTTTAGTAGGAAGACAACGTAAGTGTTTAAGAATCCTATTCAAGTACATAGATAAGGATGATACTGCTGCATAAGAATGTATGCTTCTTTCACAAGTCCACCTTTACAGAAAAGGCCAAACTAACTTCAAAAATGGAACAAAACCAAACCATTTTTTTGTTGCTTGTAGAAGGTGAATTAGTCATAGCAGGTGTTGCATTTTTCTTGTTCTCACTTTTCACAAAATCCTAAGAAAATAAATATGACAAATTTTAACTAGGATTCTCCTGGAAAGAACAATTATTTATACTACAGAAGCAGCCACTGTTTCAATGCGATGACTAACAGTAGGGAGGCACTGGCTAATACTGGATAGAGGTAACTATTCAAATGTGAATTAAACGCTAAACAAACTTGTGGAAGGGAACTAGAAATACCTGTAGTCAAACCATTCTGACATTTACTATTTTCTTCTCTCCATTATTTCCTATACTTTTGGCTTTAAGATATTTGACAAGCAAACACACAAATTGAAGTTAACTCAATAAATCTAAATGTAAATTCAGATTTACGGTGACAATTATAAAAACAGGTTGGTAGCACAGTACCATTGTTAAGCTGCCATTAAAAGATACCTTCTCTCTTGTGAAGCAGTGCCAAGAGATTTCAGATAACTGATAGCCATACTGACTGATAACAGTGTCAGAAAAGGGAGGATTTTGTTCTTTGTTTAATTAGAAGGGAGTCTCTGCAAAAGATTTGGTTTTGTTTGTTTCTAAAAACACAAGGGGTTTTTTGTTTTATTTTTTAAAAATTTGAGATGAGCAGTACATTGTTATTTTAGCACCACAGGTTTCCCCTCAGTCCTTAGTTTTAGTGCTGACAATGCACTTTTCAGTTTTAGGAAATTTAAAAAATAAATTGTGTCTTCAGTAGACTTGTGACAGTTAAAGTTACCGAATCATTTTATAATCTATTTCTGTTTGGCATATGTAACATGAAAATAATATTTAAGAGTAACATTCAGGTGAATAGAAGAGCAATAAGATACTTTTAAATTTAGTTCCATGTTATTGAAGTGTTACTTAACTAAATGTTATCCCATAAGGGTATGAACATGGACTTCTACACTATGAAAGGATTTAAATGGATTGGTAAAATAGTATTCTCTAAAAACATGGATAACTACGTTAGATGAAATATATTCATCTGTAGATAACGTTTGGTACCTTTTCCGTGCATTCAGAAGGGTGGTTATTTTTACACCTACTTTTCCAGCAGCTTAAGAGAATACTACTCTTGAAGACAGTTGGTTCAAGACACAAGAAGCTTAAATCAACTCTGGACATTATTCCAGAATGAAGCGTTGAATTCCAGATGAATTAACTTACACAGCTTTTAACAGTTACTTTTGCAATCTAGGTTTAACAAAATGAGTTTATTGAAGTACTGTTGAACACTAAATCACTGAAGTGATTATTTGCCTTAATTATTTTACTAAGAGATTAAAAAAAATATCACTTGGGAATGCTCAAATGAGAAATGCTAGAAAAGCATCAGATATTTCACTCTCCAGCTGAGACAAGCTCACTCACTGAAAAGAGATCACTTAACCACCTAGCCAAATCATCCACAGGTCATCTCCCTCAGTCACCTGTCAGCTGCAAAAGTCCTTAGAAGTATAGAGATTCATAAGCCCCCCAAGTAGGATTACAAGTATGTAAGTACCACCACAATGTGGTCTTAAGGTTTCATAGCCTTTGTAAGCGTCTTACAGACAGCTGTGTTGGTGCTAATGCTAATAACATGTAAAGGAAAGGAACATGCAGTTCAGGTAGGAGCAGTGAAGATTGTTACCACCTTGAACTGCTGTGGAGCCTTAGTCTCACATGTAAACACCACAGCACATTAAGAAGGCTGGAGCATATAACCCAGCACAACTGAAGGAATTAAAGAAGAATTAAGGTCTACATAAAACAGGGAGGTTCAGGTGCTGGTGCGATTAGTTTTGTATAGTCCCTCTAAGTACAAAAAGATCAAAGAAAACACAGGCTGGAAAAATGAAGTCAAAGGAAGTGGTCTTGAAACTCTGAAATGCATTGATTAAGCCCAGGGGCTTAACTTGTAATTGGCTATTAGAAGAGATAATTGATACCAATAATTGTCTAAACCAAAAGAAGCAATTCTATAGAACTGGTCTGTAGTCCCACAGATCAGGGCTGGAGACAGGAGCAAATGGTACCAGCAGGGAGAGACAAATGTAAAAGGAAAAGAGAAAGTGCAAATCGGGGACAAGGGGCCAGAGTCTGGAAAAATTGAAGTCTATGACCTTATTCAACACAGGCCAGAGATCCACCACTTGCCAGGGGGAAGGTTTAAATATACCCTAGATACATCCCTAGGATCTCAGTGAGAATCAGAGGATAGAATTTTAACAAATGATCAGAGTAATACATTGAAAAACTGCACAACATATTTTGTCAGTTGGTCTAGGTCATACCTCATCCATCTCTTCACTCTTCCTTTTCTTTCTTGGCTTGAGCATTTTAACTGTAACTGGTAAGGTGCTGCCCTGGTGCTTCACCTCCATCTTATTGGGTTGCAGAGGTGTGAACTGGATTTCCATCTCTGGTTTTGGGAACCGACTAGTTTTTCCATTTTCTGTGGACACTTCAGAAGAGTCAAGGACAATTTCTGAATGGTCCTGCAAGCATATGGAAATTTTAAGAAAACAAGTTTTAGACTAACTATGAGTTAAAAAAGCTATAATACCTATCCCTCCCCAGTGGATTGCAAAGTAAGCATTCCATTTTCCAGCTGTTCGCTTTCAGAACACTTTCAGAAGAAATCTACTTCGACTATAGAAGAGTTTAACTTTTACTTTCTAAAACTTTTTTGTTAAATTTTAAAAAGTTAACATTTCTATCTATGATCACAGAACTTAAAGTTTTCCTTGCTAAACTCAGCCTGATACTTTGTTTCCAAGTCATTTTCCTCAAGGGCAGAGACAGCTAAGTCTAGGTTTTCACAGCTAGCAGTAGTAGAATTGACACGATTTTCTTCATCTTAACTCTGCTGCTCCTGAGGAACCAGGCAGTAATAGGAGCTTTTGAGATAAAAGTATAATCTTTCTCTAGCTTATCTTTAAGGAGCTTTCCCTTCCTCTTCTAGAGGAAGTTAATTGTGCAAGTAACAACATCCAACTGGCAAGCTACAAGCCAAATTCAACCTATGAGAGACTTCCATTCTCTGGAGGAAGAGCAGGCATTCAGGCAGCACCATCGCCCACAAGCTGAAGACCTTGTCTTGTACCTGCTTACAGCCAAACCGCAAGAACTGCACAGTGAGGGTGGGATGGAAAGGTCAGTTTGCACAACTCTTCTTCCCCAGCAGCACTTACCTTCCATCGTCCACCCAACCCTGTTTTTCTCAGCAAAACCAGCAAGAAAGTCAGAGATGCAGGAGCCAGGGAGACCACAGCTCTGTGGCAGCAGTTCAGCTGCTGGCTAACGTACAAAAACAAATTCAGTAGCTGTTTGAATGAAATATGGAAGATGGGCTGCTGGGGTTGGTGGTGGCAAGAAATGGCAGGTGGCTGCTACCACTGCTGCTGGTAGGGTCCCGAACAGAGTAGCTACTGTTGCTTCTTGTGCTGGTTCACCCTGAAGGGTACCTTCCTCCTCTCAAAAAGGAAAATGATCAAAACTCATGGAAAGCCAAAAGGTAGTCACCTTCAACAGGCTCTGCTGGGATTTTGAGTGGGAATACCAGCACCACTGCATTCCCAAGAATGAAGTTGGCTATTAAAAACATTTTTCTTTGTAACTGCTACTTCATGAAAGAGTTAACAATCAAAAAGTTACATTGGAATGGTTAGTGTCATTAGCTAACAAAGCTACACACAGGAATCCTGCAGTGGAAGAAAGCAAATCCAATCTGCCCTGCTATTGCTCATCCATTTAAAAGGGTTTATATATTTTTTTCAGGTGACTGATCTAATCAGCCACTTCATAAGGATTGGTGAGAGCTAAGTTTTCAAGAGCACACAGTTGAAGTCAGATATAATTATTCACATGATTATGTTACACAGCTTTTGTTTCTACCAAAAGCCACTAAATCAGGTGATCTGATCACCAAGAAAGGTATTTGCAGAATAAAACTTTAGAATTCTTCAGGTAACAGGACACGTTTCTTCCCTATTCTGCATTTAGCAAAATCCATACAACTGCACAAGGTTTTCAAATTTAAAGTTTTATACCAACCTCGCTTAATGAAGAGGCACTGCTAGGGCATTGAGATAATGAATAACTCTCTTTAACTTCATCATATCTTACTGGAATGCTTTGTCCAGCTATAGGATCAGTCTTGCTTTGTTTTTCCATAAACTGTAAATATTTAGAATGAGTGAAGATTATGTGAGACTGTAAACCTCAAAATATTTTGAGTTTTCTAAAGTTACAGTATAAAAGCTCAAGCACAGACAGCTAATGAACACCTGGACTGAAAGACATCACAAGTTTAAGTCAGTAACATCTATTCACAATGTGATCACAAGATGTGCCCTGCTGGGTCTCACCGACAGTCCATCTAGTTCAATATTCTGCCTCCAGGAGTGGCAATGGGGGATGCTATTTAGGGATAAGGTGGCCAGGATCATACATGTTGTCATTTGTTCCCTCCATACTCTCCCAGCACTCTCAGTTGTCGCATTAGAAGTGTCAGAGGGTAACACCTCTGCCTAATCCTCAGAGTATCCATTTATGAATATATTTATGGATTTCTACTACAAATTTTTCTAATCCCTGCTGACAGTACCTGTTTCTGCCACCTCCAGAAGATCATTAGCTGCATCATATAGGAATATGTTATTTTAACTGTTTTAAAATTACCTATTAGTTTCATCGAGTGCTGTCCAGTTCTTGCAGGATTTTAAGAAGGACCGTTCTGCCTTCTGTTTACCCACCACAACCATGATATTGTAAGCCTCAGCCCCATAACCCTCCAGAAGCCTTAACCTCTCCTAATCAGAGTGCCAGCTTCTTAGCCTCTCCTCACAAGGCAGGAGACACATATCGCCTCGATCACTTTAGTTTTAATTCTTTATCTCCACTATGTCTTTCCTGAGAATTATATTTGACTTCCCCCCAAAACTTTACCCCACTCACTTCAACACCACCATAAGTTTCTCACACGATAATCCTGTTAGCAGCCTCTTCTTATTCAGAACATCAAGTATTGTTGCTACTGGCTTGAGGTAAATATTTCAGCACCAACTGTTCATAACAATTCTTCTCTATAACTAATTTTATGGTGCTCTCAGTTGCTATTACAAAGCTGTATAAAGCAGTAACCCTTCTGAGAGCTATTCTGTCCTCCCTCATACATCACAAGCTTTATCTATACAGCACTAGCCAAATTGATGAAGTAGCAAGAAACTAGCCAGTCTTATTTGGCAGCAGACAGGAAAGAGATGAAGAGATGCATTTTGGCATTCAGTCCAGTTCTGCAACAAGAGGAGAATCGCACCTTCTAGCGGCCAGGGGAGGGACTGCTAGGAAATCCATGTTCAGCCCTGTTCATTATTAATTAGCAATGAAGCCACATAGCATTAATTCAGTTTAGCAGGAGAACTACCTCATTAAATACTGTTCATGTAGCACACAAAGGTTCGGTCAGAATCAGGAGTCTCAGTACAGCTGCAAGCCTCTTAATTTTTGTTCAGGAAATATGCAGACTTGCTCTTTGTGTAAACTTCAAATATTGTTTTGTTTTGATTTTAAGTGGGATGCAAGATACTGTTTTGTTCTTGTGAACCCCCATATGGGCTGGCAGCTCTAGTTACAGAATCATCTCTATTATGACACTACAGGTGATATCATGAAAGTTGTTTGAGCTGAAATCCCCTTAACACTGACATAACCAAACTGAGATGACATTATAAATATTATGTCTTCAAATCTCTAGAACCTGGATTAGTTAACTAGTTTTTCCCTCAGGTATGTAAGTTCTATAATGTAGAGAGAGGTGGTATTCTATTAACTAAAGTACTTTTTTTCTGAGAGCGAGCATGAAAGAGGGAGAGAGAAAGCATGAACAAGAACTCAGAACTGAAGATACAGTTAAAGTACAAAGAACTACATAAAGTAATTTTTGAGAGATTCCCAATGTTGCTGGAATACACACTGACAAAACATAACAAAAGTTATTAACAACATATTTATAGAAAGTATGTACTAATGATAACAAACATACCTCTTTGTTTACAGACTGATCTATTACATCTTGTCCTTCTTCAGGTAAAGGTACTTCTGCCAAAGACTGAAGATTTTCATGGTTAATGCGTTGTTTCAATTCCTTTATAAAGTCATCTTTCTCAGCCAGCTGTTTTCTTAGTTCTTCTATATCAGTTTCATTGTCCTAATAAACATAGCAAAAGTTGCCATAAATTGCAGCATTGGCAAAAGAAGTTAACATATACACGAGCATCATTACGACTATTTGGTAGCATCCGTTTTAGAATTGCAAGCTAAACCAGTCAGCTATCCAACAAAAAGACAATAATTTCACGTACGAGTGGCCACTATTTAAAGTGAAGAAAAGTCATACAACAGCCTGGGAAGATGTAATGCAAAATTATTTTATCTTACTCTACTTATGTAGCTATGAGAAGTTCACCTCCCATTTGTTCATGAAGTCCTTGGTACTGTGAACAAGGCAGCAAATGTGATAGTTGTTTCAGATTTCCAGTCCAACTTTGCAATCAAAGGATCAAAAAGACTTGAGTGTTTATTTGAACTACTAAATATTTTGAAACTTCAGTTACTGTTACAAATTCAGTTTAAAAAAAAAAAAGCTTTTTTTTTTAAATTAGCTGTGAATGGTTTCAATATGACAGTGTTTAAGAACAAAAACAGAGCCAAAATGCAAAGAGCAAGTATAGTGTTTTACAGAATTAATGGATAACAAAAAAACAAACAAACAAAAAATCCACACAGGAACGAAGGAGCCAAAGCGCGTGAGAGAGCGTGAGTGAGATTACCTTTCCAGAATCCTTTCGTGCAGCCTGTTTCAGTTCCGCTATTTCTTTATCCTTTTGTGTGGTGTTAGAAGCCAAAGTCTTGAGCTGTACTTCCAAAGCTTCTACTAATGTATCTCTTTCTTCACGCCACTTTTGAAGATTGCTTTCCTTTTCTACGAGCTGTGCAGCAAGTCTTTCCTAAATGGGGAAAAAATAGTGTGTAGAAGTGGTGTTCAATTCTAACCTATCTGAACTATTCTGATAGTACTAACTATGCAAAACCAAACTATTTTATGGCCTTAGTAAACTTGAGAGCCTATGTAGATCTTAAAAAGCTCATATAGAACTAGTTTCACTACAAATATGCAAAAGCAAACCATGGTTCAGTAAGAAAATCTGTATCTATATTTATACTCTTTGCAAAGGGAATTTTTGGTAAGAACCACCACTTCTGTTTGTTTGCTTTGTGATTTTATTACTAACAAGTCTCAGGCAAGCAAAGTCACAGACAAAGTGAAAGTAGTCCTAAGCTCCTAGCATCCTCCTGTACTGATTGCAGGTCCAGAAAGTCATTGCTAATTACTTCTAGATGCAACTACAGTTTTAGGTTGTACAGATTCATATAATAATTTCATATGCTTAAGAAATTACAACCTTGATATAGTCCAGTGAACAGGCAAGGTATCCACCTTTTTATTAACTATAAGTCACTCTACTTTGAAAGCGATATGGGAGCAAAACCACTGGCATTTTGACCAAGTATTTTTGGTCAAAATACTGGAAAGAAGCTTCTTTTTGTCAACTTCTGCTTGCTTTTCTTTTTCTCTTCCTTCTAAAGGCTATGAGCTTTTTTTTTTTTTTTTTTTTTTTTGAGAAAAGCCAAGCAACAAATCTTGTTTTTCAAAGTATGGTTTCTTAGCTTCATTAAGTAGCAATTCATTTAGGTGTAGGTTACTTACTGGTGTTTTACACACAAGATGAAGTTTGAAGAATTCATAGTGAGGTGGCGGTGGTAATCAGATAGAAAGGAAGAGACATGTTAACTTCCATTATATACTAAGCTTTTTCATTTTGTGACCCTCCTATTCTTCCCTTTTCATATTGAGAAGATCTCATCTAGGCTTTGCCATGCGATAAAGTGAGGGAACTTTGTCAAAGGCCAGCTACCCTCAAGTGCCCACACTTACCGTTTGACATGAGATTTGCTCTGTACTAAAGACTTACACTAGAGGACTCTGCTGAGACCTCCAGTCACTTACAATTTCTGCTTGTTGCTCTACATGACGTTCTCTGTCCTCCGCAAATTTTCTCATTTCTCTGTTGCGATGGCTCTCAGCTTCTTTTACTTGGCTTATGAGTCCCGTTCTTTCCTCCAGCCACTTCTTTCTATCGGTTTGATACTTTGCCTCATTTTCCTATTTTAATGTAACAGAAATAAAACCATAGGTAGAGACTAAGCAAAAAAAAGAAAAAAGGGTCTTAAAATCCAGATTACCATTAAATAGGTTCATTTCAAAAAGATAACAGAAATACTAGCGCAGTTTTACTTCAGCATATTCCCAAGTGCAAGTATTACATTCTCATTTGATCTTCTCTATTGAAAAAAATTAACAATTTTCAGCACTTCTTATTCAGACTGGCACGTCTTCATTGGAACAGAATTTTTTTTCCTCTAAAAAATGCTCTGAGCAAGTCACAAACACTATAAAAGTTACACCAAAGGTAATGGTAAAGACACCCTTTTAACTTACAAATACCCAATCTTTTATGCTGCCTTACAGGACATGTTAGAAAACTTACTTCTACTTCAAGACTGAAAGGCAAAGAATGCAGTACAATTTGAACAGTAGGCAAAGATAGTGCATACCTAAGAATGTCACTTCAATCCACAGCAACTTTGCCTCCTTTTCTATCAGAATCAAACCTCTTGTCAGACATTCTCCCACATAAGACAGAAGGGACCTGAAAAGCTGCTTGGAAAAAAAAGTCTACTTTCTAATCCAAGGAGAATTAGAGGTAAGTCCTCAGCCTAACAGGAAGGGCTTACAGGTCATACAGCAAGCACAAGATCTTGACGAGTTTGATTTAGTTGCCCAAACAACTGACAGGAAAGAGGTTCGGAATGGATATCAGGAGTTGGATCGGTTAAGGCAACTGTAAGAGGAATCCAGCTACGGAGCACCATCCATGGTAGTATAATGTAGGGAAGGGTGCACTCCAAGATGGGGCATCAGTGATGCCGATATTACAAAGACACTGTATCCAGACTGTATCCAGCTGCTGGACTGCAGCTTTGAGAGGAGGTTTCCTTTACTAGTGTAACAACTTGCCATATCATGCCCTAGCTCTTGAAGATAGCGACACAAAAAAATTTAGACTCCTAAATGAAAGTTATGGCTTTAAAACTAAGTATGAATTACGTCACCATGTTTTACCTTCAGTTCTTTTTGCAGCTTTATTAATTCCTCATTTTCATTTATGTTTTTCTCCTCATTTTTGCTCATCTTTTGCTGCCAGTCACTATTGCTCCGATTATTCAGCTCTCTGTATTTCTGCTTCCATACTTCCAGTTCTAGTCAGTACACAAAATGAGGTTACATAACGTAGTTTCAAATGCGTATTTGACCACATTCACATCCTTCTACTAAAGTTACTTGGATTTATCAGCTAAGACCACAAAGGGACAACAGAAGCCTTTAACTGTTAGACATTTGTTATGTACTACATAAAGTTAATGCCTAACTAGCAGTCAACAAATAAAAACAGAAATTTAAAGCAGCTATCACAATACATCCAAAACAATTTTGCCTCCCTGCTCCCTTTCCAAGGAGGGATTACCCAAAACTAATCTGTTGGTCTCTTCTAATTTGGCTTCAAGCACTTGATCTTGTTCAGTCTGAGTCTGTTCTTGTTCTTCTAATGTCATCCGCATATCTTCAATTATTTTTTCCTTTGCTCGCAGATCTGAAGATTTGAAAATAAATTTACAGATAAGCCGCCTCCTAGTTCCCACCATTCTCTCCCAAAGTGCCTTCATTACAAGTAGTTTCTCCTATTCCCAGGGATCAAAAGCTCTATTAGAAAGAAATAGAGCATCTCTACTGAACTATCCAAATCCAAAATTCTTAAGTGATTCTCATCAACTTGATTTCAGCGAGTGTTTCAGTGTTAACATCAGTCAGACTATGGCTTGTATTATATGGGAAACTAACCATTGTTCAAACTGCTAAATGTTTATCAAACCTGCAGAAACTGTTATTGTGCTAGTTCATGTTTCAGTGTTTGATTTTGTTAAAACGGCCAATTAACATGGCAAATAAATACCAACATTTAATAAGTTCACACTGATACAGCAAATCCACACTTTCTCTGGGGCTTATGTTTCTTATTCTTAGACTGTTTCTTAGCTTTCAAATATGCCTGCTAATAACGATTCAATAAAACTTAATTCCTGACTGGAACATTTTAATGTCCAGGTTGGAGTTTCTCAGTATTATAAAATATAAATATACAAGACACTCCAAATTCATTAACAACATGGCAACTCATTATGTTGCCATTCCACACCCAAAAAATGGAACAATAATGGCTTTTTCTGACCTTTACGTGTTTTCTCATACTGTTTGGAGATTTCTTCCAGCTTCTCATTATTCAACTGCTCCTAAATATCACATTGAAAACAAATTAAAGAAAAAATGTTGAAATAAACAAGTATACATGCTAGAAATGAGTAGCTTTTCATTCTGAGCTTTAATAAGTAATGAATAAAGTATTTAAGACAAACAGTCCAGAATAAGTAAGTTTTTCATATAGTGTAAAGGAGCATTCAAGCTGATATAAAAAAATGTTTAGAGGAAGACGTTACTACTAACGTATCTAAGTGTCACTAATAAGAAACAGGGTATCTGCAGGTATTAAGTATGTATTTACTAGGCAGATGACTATTTAAAACAATTTGACAACATCCTGCAGTGAGATGTTCTTTAAACATCTTTCATTCATCCATTAAAACTAATTTCAGCTGGTTACTCTTATTTTTACCTCAATTTCTGTAAGCTTTCTCCTGTTGCTTGGAAAACTTGCCTCATTAATGGATTAGTTAAAAAAAAATAAGAGCAAGTAAAATTTTAAAAAATAAAATACCTTTTTAAGTTGCAGAATTGTGCGCTGTTTGATCTCCAATTCTTCACTAAACTGGTTTTTGATTTTCTGAAGTTCATTAACTTTGTTCCTCAAGGATTTCTCCTCAGATCGCATTGTACACACCTGTAACAATGCACAAAGACACCAAGCAAAGCTAACATTTAGCTATAAGCCTTTTACAATCTCTGTAAGTTATCTAAATAACCAAATACTTTAATTAAGAGTCAAATTTTTGCAAGCATATTAGCTAAATTTCAGGGGCTAGAAGCGCACTTTACTGTACATCCTTCCTAGGGAAGGATTTTCACCATAGAACAGAGTATTATATTTGGCGGGGCGGGGTAGACACACACACCAAAAAAAACCCCACTCCCATAAAACCACCAGGAAATAGCCTAATCAAACTACAAATTCAGTTGTCCTTTAAAAAAAAAAGAATGTTTTCTGACATGTGATTCCATCCACTCTTTGTTCTCAAACAGAGGATTATACACTGAATGTTGAGTAGGAAAAGGTCCTCAAATATTAGGTTGTTGGGGAAGACAGAAATACTTTTTTAAGGAATAACCTTCAAGCCCAGACTCTTGCAATAGTGCATAGGATTTTAAGTTCTTGTGATATCCCATGAGGTTCTAAGAAATCCTACTGCTTGATAACTAAATACTAACAATTAACATTAGTAAAAGTTATTCCATTTTTTCATTTCTTCTCCCCAACCTTAACAGAAAACATAGCTCAGATTTTAAGAAGTCTCTAGAAGTTAGTGCTTTCCTTTTCTGATTAATCCATCTTTTCCTCCCAGAGATGAGCATTTTCCACAAGTCTGAGGCTTTGAAGTCAGCACAAATAACAACATAAGGCTACTGTTGTTATAGAGATTATAAAGTCCTTCTCCATAACCAGATTAGCCACAGTTTCCACAAACCTTTTTCAAGTGTATTAATAAAGTTTACTTCCCCCCTTCAATATCTGTACGAATCCATGTTTTGACATCTGGTCTTATCTTTAGCTTACAGCTTCAACGGCAACATAACTTAAGATTCACTGTTACTGTATCACTCAAAATAGCCTTATGAATCACTTTTAACATTCATAGCTTGAGTTTGTGAAAACAGGTTTTAATAACAGAACCCCAAGCATAAACTTGCAGAGAAAACATTTGGCCTATGGTTACCAACCTCTTTTTGTACTTGCTGAATTTGTTTCTTGGCATCAGAAAATTTCTCTTTCAAATCCGTATGCTCTTCCTCTTTCCTCTGCAAATCTTTTTTCAAACTCTGTACAAGGGCAGAGCTCTCAGACAGATCTTTACGTAGCCTTGTATTAGAAATTAAGAGACACAAATAACATTAGTGTTACACATCTCAAAGAAACAGCTTTTATACATGAACTCAGGCTCTTTGACTGCTGGTTTTATTCATGAACGGAATCTCAGATGTATCAGGTCAATTACAAGCTTTATAATTTTACTTTTAGATTTCAGCTTATTATATGATCCTGAAGTAACAAACTGCTCAATTTCACCTCTGAACACTGCAATTTTTATTTTTTTTTTTTAAGCACAGTAGAGCATACATTTTTATTATTATGTGTCCTCACAAAGTAACAAAAGGAACAAGGTTAATATCAAGTAAGTTTAAACTTGATATCTACATCCCAGACCTTATAAGGATCAAAATAAATAAAAATAAAAATAAAATAGAAAAACCTAGAGCATTGCAACAAGTACTGCTGTTACAAGTGCTACAAAGTAATTCAAAGTTTGATGGATTTTTAAATGGTTGTATGTATTTAAAAAGGTTTACAGCAAGACATCTTGGATTTGTACTTTAAAACTAACTAATAGAAGGTTTTTTAGATTCTATAATTGACAATACAAAACAAGGCCTCACAAAAGGAAAATTTTTCAAAGCTTTACAAGCACAGGGTCAGGGATCCCCGAACCTTCATGATAAATTGTACTTTAGAGTATATACAGGTACCCACAGATACGGCACTACGGAAACCCAGGTCAGAAGGGCTACATAGTATCTTAAAGCTATTTTTACACGATCGCAATTTCCTTATCATATAGCAAATGTAATCTCTCAGATACATTTAATCTCATATTTCTTAAAGATTTAAAAAGTAGAGTAGAGGGCAAGTTCTACTCTCCTACACCCATTATTCCTTCAAGTTCTTATAGTAGACTGTGTTGACCTAGAATAGCTATTACCAAAACCAGCTGTTTATTGCTTACTCCCTAGGCTTTTTTTTTCCCCCCTTTCTTCTTTTCCTTTTTACCACTCAGTTCTTTCCAAAGAAAATGTTGCCTGCTTTTATACAAGTTACAGGATATAACATTAAACTATATGTTATTTTCTCCAGAAAGGTTACGCAACATAAAACTATTAGAAATCCCCAAATAATTCTTCATTTCCTTGCATGCTTCCGTTTCCCCCTACAATAGTTCCACAGGATTTAGATCTATATTTTTGAAAGAATATACAAACAGGTGAGGAAAACATAGTCAGCAGAATATGCAAATACAAAATTCAAGTAGTGTCTTAAAACTTCTTAAAAAAGCAGTCTAGTTAATGAAGTTGATAAACATGCAAATGTGTAATGTCAAAATAAACTGATGTTCACAGAAGGTAGTTTTAACTTGAGCGAATTCTCAAAGGGCTATGAGTTATCTCATTATTTACTTACAATTCTATAGATTGTATTTGCTCATCCTCATTTTTCTCCTTTTCCTGAAGAGAGTGTTTCATGTTTTCCAACCTGTTCATCAACTGCACAACTTCCTCCTTTAGATTTGCTTCTTGATCATTTAATTCTTTCATTTTTTTGTCTGAATTGGCACATTTCTCTTGCAGAGCTACTGTACTACTTTCTAGATTTAAACTAATAGATTCTTTTTCTTTAAGCACTTCTTCTAACTTTGTTATGCTATCATCTTTAGCTCTAAAAGCCTCCAAGAGGCATTCAAGCTCTCTTATTTTTCCCTTGTAGCTGGTAACTTCCTCCTCAAACTGTGCAATTACTCTGTGATCTTCTGCAGCCTGTTTTTCAAAATCCTGGGTTTTCTTCTGGATTTGCTCTTGTAACTGATTCACAAGATCTTTTTCCTTTATGGACTGACAATCTTGATTTGCAGTCTCATTTAATTTTATTTTTAGTTGATTATTGTAATTCTCGGTGTCACCAAGTCCCTTCTTTAAGTCTTCAACTTGTTGAAGTAGTTCTTGAATCCGCTGACTTTTTTGTGAAGAAGTCTTAATAATATTTTTGCATTCTTCCCAAATGCTTTCAACACTGCAGTGAAAGGAGCTCTCCCGTCTCAGATCTGCTGTAGAAGCAGTTTGGGACTGCATGCATACAGGACTCATTTGAGCTCTCGCTGATTCATCTTTTTGAGAGTCTAAGGAATCCTTCAGATTAACTGGATCAATATCCATAGCGTAAGACTCTAAGTGACATTTATACAACTCATCTACTTTGGACCGCATTGTTTTAATTTGTGACACTTTATCAATTATATTTTGTTTGGCACCTTCCACTTCATTATTTAGCCAAATAATCTTTTCTTCTTGTTCCCTATTTATAGTTTTCTGTTTGTCCAATTCAGAAACAATCGCCTGATAGTCAGCTCGACACTGCTGAAGTTCTTCACTTAAGCCAGAAGCCCTATCTTCAGAAGCAGAGAGCTTGAGATGCAAGTTTGTTATCTGCCCACTGAACTCTTCTTTTTTGGTTTTTTCTCTTCTGCATTTTTCTTCAAGTGCAGCTAGCTGACCTTCCAAGGTTTCAGTTCTTTCCTTCAGTACTAGTATTTCTGCATAGTTCTCAGAAGTATTTTTCACGTATTCAGTTCTCTTTTGCTCTAGAGAGTCATCTTCCCTACTCTCCTTCATATCTCCTAAAAAAAAAAAAAAGACGAAACCATACAGCTCAGGTTGATTAAAATCAATAGTACAAGTCACTACCAATACCAAATAGCAATTACTATATGGACAATGGTGACCATCTGAAAGCCACACCCTCATATCATATAGCATTTTGAAGTCTTGAAGTACTTAAAGCTCTCTGAAAGGTTTAACATGCAATAGGTGCCTCTTAAGCTTCTAGACATGGTTTGCAGCAAGAGGTGTTCAGGTGCCCTAAATAACACTTTGCCATGGCTCTATTCCAGCCTTCTACTCTGCACCACTAGTAGAAAAAACTAGCTAGTTTTACTAATACATAGTAATACCTATGAGCTAGATAACATTCACAGTTATGTCTAGTTTCCACATTCACTGGTTTAGCAATCCCTTTAATACAGCCAGCAATCACCCATTCTACATTTAGAAGAGCGATGGTTATCATGTACTTTTCTAAGAAGTTTCATTCATACTCAATACCCCATTACTTTAAAAATTAAGCTAAAAATCCAGCACAAGTTTTTCCGCTTAGTGTTTGGGACCTTCATCCCTTCTTTTTTCAACTGGTTTCTAAACTAGAAATAAGGATAACTATTTATGCTCACACCTAATGTGATGCATATAAAGTTCTCACAGAAAGATGTACAACATTCCATCACAACTCCAAATTTCCATAAATATTTTATTAGCTTAAGACTGGTTTTCCCCCCTAAGTAATGAGCAATTCTAACTAAGATCACATGCATTTCACCACCTTCAAAATTGACTCCAGCTGTGTTTCGCACAAGTGTTTTAGAATCCAGCTGTGTCCATTTAGTAACATGCATGCTATGTTCTAGTGTTAAGATCAAGCCTGACTCTCCAAGAATTAAGTTGTCACAGCTATGTACTCCAGGGAGATACTATGGATTCTCGCGAGTACTGCAACTACAGTAAGGTGGAGTTTGGCAGTCACCTCACTTTGGGAGCAGTAAGCACATGGGTACTGCATGGAAACACCCTCTGAAGAGATCCAACAAGTTTTATAGGGTCACTAACTTTGAGCCACTAACAAAAAGTCATACTGAAGCATTAGCAATAATGTTTTCCATCTCAATTCAGGTTTTGGTTTTTGATTATTGTTAGAGTGATCAAATTCCACAGGACACTTTTTTCCTCCTGCTTTTCTGTCCTAATTAGACATATCAAGTGCTCCCGCTAGGTGAAACACAACAGCAGCTTTACTTTGGCTTGTAAAGCCACGTTTCTAAATCCTACAAGATTTAAAATGTTGGATTGGGAGATGGTTTTCTCTGAAAGCCCAGTTGTGTAGTCCCTAGAAAACATATCAGACAAAATACTACATATTCCTCACACTGGACATGAATTTTACATACTTCACTAAAAGAAAGAGGGACCGAGGTGTCTTAAGACATATTTTGTGATCCAAGGTGGCAAGATGAAAAGAGTACCAGAGCTTAGCCCAACAACTACATGAGAAGGGTATGATCATTCAACAAGAGGATTTAGAAAGTGATCTAGACGCTTTGTACTGACAACCACAATCATGCAGCAGGATAAATATTAGTGCAAGACGACACATGATATTCAGTCCAGAAGCATTTTATGTAGGAAGCACTAAGAAAAAGCCCTAGTCCAAAACATGGGAGGCCAGTTCTAGAGAAGACTACAAAAACCTGAACTTCAAGACAAAACAGCCTATCCTCTCCCAACATAAACTTTGGTCATAGGCCACTAGCATATGTAAATTCTACAAGAAAGCCATCACAGTGTAGCTGTGCTCATTGTTCTATTGTGCCAAGTACATGTAACGAGAATGGTTAAAGTATATATATATTAATAAATTTCATCATTATGGAGCATCTAACAACTCAGTTTAAGTCAGATGCCTTATATTCTCAACACCCACAGAAGAAACTTATTTAACATGACTGAATAGCCTGTTCTTCCTGACAGGAAAATCTCAGTGCTGATGTTAATTGGCACTGTTAGTTATCCACTTTAATTTCTTGTTTGAGAAGAGTTATCACTTTTCTATTTTTTGGTTGTTTAAATAAGCTTCAGTCATGAGATTATAAACCTACTACTATCTAGTACCAAGGAGTCTACATCAGCTCTACTTCCCACCCTCTTCCTGTAAAATTTATATAGGTGGCACCATCAAATGTTCATGCTAGGATCCAATATTCATCCCAACCAAAGATGGTAAAGACTAATCAGAGATGCATCTGGTACAGAGACAGAAGCTTCTCTTAAGACAGACTTCAAATGACACTTATTTGAACAAGTTGTACAAACATCAGAAATGCCCTACTGGATCACACACTGTCAGATGACCTAGCCTAATATTCTACCTCCATTTGCTACTGTTGGTAGGCCCAGCCACTTCCTACAGACCTTTCCCGACATAGAAAATTGAGAATGTTGAAGGAATATGAAACAATATGTCCCTGCTTAACCCTTTCAGTATCTATGTATGAACCTGTTGGCTGTTAGCTTGTCTAACCACTCCTGGAATGTGAGAATTATCCGCCTCTCCCACCTTTAGAACAGCAAATATTAGAAGTTCACTACCCACTGCATGAAGTGCTTTGTTCCATAAACTTAAACTGATCTTCTACTGGACTGAGTGTTCCCTTGTTCTTTCACTGCAGAATGTGATGAATGGTAGTCCAGCATTCAGCTTATTCACCATTTGTATCCTCAGTTTTCTGTGATCATGTGAATTTGAGAAGTCTCCTTTTAACATGTTTTATTCCTCGTTATGGAGATAGATATTTTCTGCTTCCCATTTTTAATCTTATTTCTCTTTTCCTATCCCATCCTCACCCAAACAATGCCTGGAAGATGTTCTTGCTTGCATCTATTCTGCAGGAGGAAGGCAAGAAAGTAAGGGACACGAAGGGAAGACCTTTCATTCTCCTTTCGCATATGCTTTCCATATTTCTATAGAAAACTGAAGCCCAGCTGTGTCCTGAAGTCAAGTTAGAGGCAGGCAGATCTTACTAATACCATTTCGCACAAGTCAGTCCCATATAGCTCAATCTCACTGATTAATGGACTTTAATGAAATGGATAATGTAAGTAGTGGTGTCCTTTAAGTTTCACCCTTATCCTTGAAGGTCTTCAACCGCAGCTAGTTTATTCACCTCGTTCTAAAAAGACTGGTAAGCTAACAGATAAAGCAAGGAAAGCAAAGAGATTGGAAGTGCAAATGTGAGAGCTGCACAAAATATGCCATCTGTGGACCTAAAGTAATTTTGCTTCCATTCAAGCGGAAAGCTTTTCTCCTTTGCTAGCACTGTCACCTTGACCAGAGCTGGTGTGTTCGCAGCACGCATACAGAATGAAACATCAAGTTTCACAGCACATACTGTATAACTGAACAATCGGTAAGTCATTGACACCTTTGATGCTCGCTTAAACAATTTTAAAAAGCTTGAGCAGGAGATGCTACTTTACAGAAGTCCAGCAACAGCAAGCTTAGTACAAAAACAACCGTTAAGAAATTGCTTAAGAACTACAGCCGAGTCTGCAAGTACATTAACAGATGAGAAAAAGCAGCAGAGAGTCTAAAAACTAACTTTTATTTTAAGCATTTAGGAGTGAACAGTATAGGACCTTCTGCAAAACAGATGATATTTACATAATAGTTACTTCCATTTACAGTTTAACACAGTAGATTTTCTCCTCATAACATAATGTTTACGCTTCACAACTTTTTGCTTCTGTTCTGGAATAGTAATCAAGTTTTTTTGGAAGACCCCCGCTTGAGTGATGGTAGAAATTGTACCTTTCTTTGTAGGTGGCTCTTCTTCCACAGTAGGCTTATTTTCAAAGCAACGTTTTCTTCCCACTTCCAACACAGTTTCCTCGCAATCCTTGAGTTGGCTGCTTTCAATCACTTTGTTAGAGTTCTTTTCTGTCCATTTTCTTTTAATAGTAGTTACAGTATTGTCCTGCATTAAAATAAGATCAATTAGTTTGAAGTTTTACAAAGTGAGCACTTAAAAGGCTTTGTAAACTTTTACATGCAAATATTTTTACAAAACTATCTGGGTAACATGTATAGGGGTTGTCAGAGGAACAAGTCAGTTACAGATCAGTTACGTAAACCAAAAGCAGGTACACCTTCAGATACTAATAAGCATAATGCTTTGCACTGTATAGAAAACAGAGCAAGAGACTAGGAAACTACAAAATGCAAGACTTGCATGTAAGAGGAGTTTGTTTACCACCTGGAAACAGTTTCCAGTGTCAAAAGAGTTGATGAAATTCCTGATTTGTTCAAAGGGCAAGTGATTAGCTCTAAAAGTTCGTCACTTTCTTGTCATATAGTTGGTAGAGTTGGGAGTTCTAACGGCCTTCAGCAAGGCCACAGATCATTTTGATCATGACGGATCTGATGCAATTTGAAAGTGTAGTCAGTTCTGTCATACTTACTTTAGACTATATATTTGACTAAGAATAAGGTTTCTTTACTTGCAAGATGACACAAGCGGCAAGCCATGCTGGTTACCACGGACCAATTACTCATCTTTAAGTACTTCATTAAAAAAACCTACAGAACAGACTTGAGGTTTGTGGTCACGTTTTAAGTTTCATGCCACACAGTCTCACAGAAACACTGGACAGAGTTGGAGCCTTACTCTTGGAAGGAGTAGTAATAGGAAGCAGTCATCATGCCTCTTACCACTCTTGGAGCATTCATACTATTGAAAAGCTAAGTTGCTGCGGGGCAGAGAGAGGGAATAGAAGAGTAAGTATGGTCAAAGCCTTAAGTTTACAGTGGAAGAGAGAAATGGATCAGAGTGCTGACTAAGTTTCATTTAATATGTTCTCAGAACTACTTCAGGTTACTGGACATCAGGCTCAAAAAACAAACCTAACTGCATGTTTTTGTTTTTTTTTTTTAACCTGTATACATTTAGCCAAGCTAGTCTTTTGGCATTCAGCAGCTAGCAGTAGACTAGCCAGTTGCAAGTCTTATTAATCACATCAAAAGCAGAGATACCCTGGTCATCCACTCTTAGTTCAAACTCTGCTCAATATATTCATATTATTGCTCCTACTTTGAAAGCGTGTATGCATGGTGGTGGTGGTGGGAACACACTGATTTTTGTTGCTAATTTACCCAATCACTGTCATTCTTACATTATTAACTTCTAACTTCAATTAAATTTGACCTTTTGCTGCAGCAAAACCTCCTTCCCTTCTTCTTCCACGCAGGCAAAAATAGACAGTGACATAATCCCTCTATTCCCACTGCTTAAGTCCTCCCAGTTTGAATTTTGTTTTTTTTTTTTCTTTAGAGTGGCTCTTCAGAGTCTCATCTACAGGCCTTCAATAGTAACTCCAGATCACTGCTTCCAGAAGTCCCATTTTTCACCACCCCCCCATTTTGCTGTAACTTTAGCTTCAATGCCAAATTCACCTACCACCATTTCAAGCAAGTAGCAATTACTTTACAGAAAATTTCAATTTTCCAAAACAGTTAAGTCCATTATAAGCATAGATTTAGATTTTTTGTATAAAGAAAATTGAAATGTCTAAGACTTACATAGTCTTTTATGGTTTCTTCTAAATGGGATATCAAATCTTGTAGTCTCATAATAACATCATCTTTTTGCTCTACAATGTCCATTAGTTCTTGAATCCTTTTATTCTGTGTATTCATTTTCTTGGAAAAGAAAGAATAGTAGTTCAGTCAGTGTTAAATTGTTGAACAATACCACACATTTAGAAGCAAGATAGTTAAACTAAGCTTGATATAAAAAAAAAAGCTAGAAGCATACTATAACAGCATTTTAAGCTACCGGCATTTCGTATTAAAGCAAATAATTTTGCACAAGTTTCTCCTTGAGAAAGTTACCTCAGTTGCTTCTTTAAGCTGCTCAGCAGACTCATCCAATTTAATCATCTGCGTTTCAAAGTCTGTAACAGGAAAAGAAGCCTGCATTAAATAAGCAGCCATTACATAGTTTACTCAGTAATCCATTTTTCCAGATCTTCTGGTACCTCAGTAGCTTTTGAATAGAAGTCAACATGAAAATAAATCAATCTACTTATAGGACACATTTCAAAAGTTGTTTAGGTTTTCTTGAATAGGAGAATTGGGCCTTACAACCCATATAAAACATAGATCATGTCAGGAGACTACTGCTCAAATCATATTATGAAGTATTGCTACTTTCTCCTCTATGAACGTTCCACAGGATACCTGAAAACACTGCACCAGCAAAATGTAAAGAACTGTGGGGATTACAATATAACCATGAAATCAAGAATCAATAATGTTGACACTTTACCCCACAATTCAGAAGTGTGCAATTGACAATTTTAAGTTTTGTCTTAAAAATGAAATAACCAAGGCCTGTGTAATTGTTCAACCTGAACATACATAAAACAGTTGGTTACAACCTCTATACATATAATTTGGTTCCAAAATCCTGCTCAACTGGATTATTTTTATTTTATAGTAGTTTCTTTTTTCTGCCTTTCATATCACACACCCAGCTCACCTTTGGTTTTCTGCATCAGCTCTTCTTCAGTTCTGATTAGTTCATTGGTTTTCTTTGTCAGCTCTTCTTTGGTCTTAGTTAGTTCAGTAGTAATTTTTCCCAGTTGCTTTTCAAGCCAACCTATAGCTTCCTGTGGGTCCTCTAGGGACACAATGTATCTGTGTGCTTCTTCTGCCTGCTTTTTGATATCAATGACATCATTCTGCAGAGAATCAATAATGCCCTCAAGATCAAAGTAGGTGCCTGGCCCTGTGCTGCATTCTTCATACTGAAAGATAATTTATAAATATATCTCTTTAGAAGTGGCAAATAATTACACAATAGCCACTATTTCTACAGAAAATTTGGAAGACCATTTGAATTCAAACATATAAGTACAGTTAATTCTGGCTTCAAAGCCATCTTGTGATTTCATATGCAATTTGATTGCCAGTTTCTGTCTACCTTCACACACAAGTCTCCAGTATCAAGTAACAGCTACTTCATTTTTATAGCATTTAATGACCCACCATCACATTCCCTTTTATATCACCACAAAAGCATCCCCTCCAAATTTTATATAAAAGCTAGTATTTTTTTTACCCAATGAGAACATTGAATTAACACAGCAAGTGAACAGTTTCAGAAGGAATACATCTGAAATTTTCACAGATGAGTAAAAGTTGGTGAGGTGAAATAAGTTTGTGGTAACTTATCAAATTAGAGATGTACTCAAAACATTGACTTTATATCTTTCCTCTTTGTTTTTAAAAAACAAAGCGTTCCAAACTCACAAGAGCCAGCCTCAAGTTAAGAGTCTAGTTATGGCTTAAGTGTATATATAGTTCTCATTGCTTCCGTTGTAGCTACAATAGCCTTAAGAGGGAAGAAGTCTCTGGGACCACTGCAGTATGGTCCATATATGGGGCCTAAGAAGTCAGCTTCAAAGACTTTAAATTGGCACTTAATGCAATAGAGTTTATACCATAATTGCAGCATTCCCCCCCAATTTCTTTCTATACAGTAATTTTCACTTTGTGTTGCAGAAATGCAGAAAACCCCCAAAGATTCCTAAACACATACCCGAGGCTCAGCAACTACTGCTATTAAATGTGATAAATGTATCTTGCTGCGGATACAGTTACACAGCATGCAATTCCTCGAAACCATCCTTCTAACCCTTGAGACATACCATCACCATAACAGGTAGTTAGTAAAAGGGATGTTATTGTGGGGGTGGGTGGGGATAAAAATACCAGAGGTCCAGCTTGTTCATGGCAAGGCTGATGCTTTAATTTGTTTTCTTCATCTGTGTTTACAGTATAACCATTTACAAGTTCCTTGAAGATTTCCAGGCGTCTTTCAGAATTTTCTTCAAGCCGTTCTCTTTCATGAGAAAGGCACTCTCTACAGTAGGAAAAATAAGTCAGCTAAAAGCTAGCCAGTATGAGCTGCTAAGTAATTAGTATAGTTGCCTATTAACAAAGATGTTTTTTGCCTTTATTTTGGCACAAGAGAACAATACACAAAATGGTGTTGCTACACCAAACTAGAAGTATATTCCCCCCCACCCCTGAAGAATGAGGGGGAGACAAATATATATATACACAGATTATGGATAGCACTTAGCTACAAGCATTTTTTCTAAGCTTCTTGAGCCAGAATACTTGTTTGGAGTATCACTAAGACTGCAGTAACCAAAGAATTTGCAAGTGTCACTCTTTCTATAGACATCCTATCAACAAAGCTCTTCTCTTAGGGAGAGCTCTACAGGATCAAACACTTCTTACAGATTACACACACACAACCCTACCCACCCCCCAGAAAAAAAGTCAAAGCCTTTCCTACACTGTATTTTTCCTGAACTCGTAGTCCAAATAGAAACTGATATATTAACAGAGGCAGTAAGTCTAGCAGAAGAACGTGGTCTCTTACAGCCAAGAGACAGATTTAAGAAATAAGTGAATTTACTTTCATTTTTTTAACCAGTAAAACCACTTAAAGCTAACTTACTTGAAATCCATTTCCCGCTCAGCAAAATATTGGGTAAATTCTTGTGTCACTTCTTCACGAATTTTTAGTTCCAGCAGTAACTTATTCTTCTTTTCAGTAATAAGTTTGTTCTTCAACTCTTTTATGAGACTCAGCAGTGTCTAGAATTACCATTAGTATTAAGTTTTTCATAAAGAAACAGTTTCCCAGAAGTGAGATTTTTCCCATTCCTCAAACACTACAAGAACCCTTTACTTTTCCAGCTGGCAAAAGTTCTTCTAGTTCTTTTATTAGCTTATTCATAAATGGGAGGATTCACGAGTAGATTGAAATATCTGTTTGATTCTAGCACAGCAATTTGTAAGTTTGCACAGAGTAGGCATTTGCAAAGAACATGAAGTTTATTACAAGAATTTTTGAAGTTGTCTTAAAAAAAAAAAACAGGCTTAAGCTCCACAGGATTTGGCTCTTGTTTTCCAGATGCTCATTTTTGGGGCAATATTAATGAAACCTCCACAAAACAGTCTCTAGTCCTCTGGTCCCTCCCCCTTTTTCTTCCCTAGAAGTGACTAAAATTGCTGTTCCTTAAATATCGGTTTTCAGAGTTTTCTTGTGCATAGAATACAAAGGAACAGTCTTCTGTATTGCTAAAAATCAGGTAATACTTGCTGTGCATTGACTAAAGGTCACCAAAAGGAGAGAAAGCCAAATCTGCAATTCTTACTGCTCAGTCTGCATTTAGACACATTTCATAGCGTTTTCCCACAATAGGCACTAAGTCATGAGTAATCCCACTTTCAGTTCTTAACACTGGATTTAGGTAGAAAAAGGGTGATCAGCAAAAAAATAGGTGAGAGATGGGGGAAATCGTGAGAATACCACCTTGCTTCAAGAATCCATGCTACACTAATTCTTAAAGTAGCCCTGGCACATACCATATATTCTTCTTTTCCAATAAGAACCTTATTTTCTTCGTGTTTCTGCACTGCTTCTTCTTTTGACATATTATGCTGTTCCTCCATCTCGTCATCATCATCATCTTCAATCACATCTTCTAAGCTCCTGTCCCATAGGATAGTAGCTCTTTTCCTCGGGATTGGCATTTTAGTGCCACTAAGTAGTGATGATTCTGTTGCTGATTTCTGGCCAAATGACTGATCTTGGGGAAGAATAGACGTGTCCATAACTAAAACCTATCCAGAAAATAAAGAACAAAGTCATCAGTATTTTTTAAACCTCTACTGGCACTTCCAAGAGATACCTGTTGCACTTTCTTACAGGTCTCCTGAGCACAGTGCTCCCCCAGCCTATCCTCTGTTCAGAGTCACTACTCAGACCAGTTTCCAGGTAGAGTACAAAAGAGTCACTTTGTAGTCTAACCCTTCTTTTGATCCCAGGAACACCACGTTTCACTAGCTCGACAACCTACAAGAGAGTTGCTACCTCATGCACCAACAGATTTTTGTATTTCCTATACTTTGAGTTTCTAGTTGCATTACACAAGTGTCATCCTACAAATTCTATGTCATGAATAGCTGTATCACCCTTACAGTCTGCTCCTTCTAGTGTTGTACTTAACCTGGTTAGATAAGCCTACATTCCAAAGGCCTGGATCTATTGTCCTTTGAACATATCTAACTGTCAACAGAAGTTTTCCATGGCTTCTGTTAAGGCTGCAGCACTGATCCCCAATACTTTCGTCTTCCAACTTTGCCAGGGTTATATCACTGCACTTACTTCTACTCATTCTGCTTAACCTCCACCTTCCTACTGAAGCCTCTATGGACATAAAAGCGACCTTTCAAACCCTCTTTGGTGCTCAACCTATTTTATCAATATTTCAGATGAGCAATATTCCAGATTAAGACAGCAGTAGTATGTAGGGCAGCTAGAATTGCTCCAAGGTGAGAGCATGTTATGAGTACAGAAGAAAAATTTACCTAGATCTCAGAGTTTCTTCCAAATATAGCAACTGTCTTGTTAGGCTGGACTTTTTATAGAAATTATGGATTTTCAGTAGGAGATGCTCCCACACCCCGAAGAAAAAAGATGTCCCAACAAAGCCTTTTTAAAAACTTTACAAGAAAATAAAGCCTGACTAGGAGAAAATATGATTGCAACATGAGACAGAAAAATCCAGTAACTAAATTCATATTCTTAGAAGTGAGAGAACCTGCTCTTTAAATGCAAGTCATAAGTACTGATCAACAAAATAAACTAACACACTTACTTTTTGTGCAATGGCCGAGAACTTTAGCACATTGAGTGTTTCATCGTATGCTGAAGCACATTGGCTTATGTTTACTATCATGTATACCTTCCCTTTTCCACTGAAGAATCCTTGAAGGAAATGAGTTAACTTACTTTCCCGAAAGGGTATGTGCTGCTGCAACCTTTAAAGACAAAAGAACAGATGACTGGAAGTTTAATAATTTCCAGTCAGTGTAAGAGCTATCCAGCCTGAAGACTTAAAAATATTTATAAAAGCAGTAGTCTTTAAATCATTTAAAATTGTTTTGGACTAGATAAAGCTGTTTGTGAAGAGATTCCATGGCTGTTGTGACTGCTGCTTTAGCCATTATCTCAGATAGGCTATAGCAATACAATCAGTGGGAGCACTTAAACAAAAAGCATGTTCAGCATTTAGCCTAGGGTAGGTCACATGGCCTCATGCTACATCAAACTATATCCTACCTCTCTCTTTCCCCCTCCGCATTCATGAAATGGACATACCTAGCTCTAGGCATGCAGTATCCAACATTAGAGATCTCTCTCACTCAGAATCCTGCCTCTGAGAATAGACAATAGCAAGGGCCTAGGCAAGAAAATTAGTATACACCAAACACGTGGAGATACTTTTCAGCATTATTTCCCTAATCACCCAGCATTTTGGCATTTCCTAAATCAGAAGGTGTGCCCTTGAATTTAACAGCTGGTGATATAGTTTTTGATGCTTATAGGAAATTTTATGAGAATTCCTAACACACAACTAAACACACACTTGCCATTGAATAGGTTGCCTGCATTTTGGACACATGACAGCTCTTCACTTATATGAGCAGTGCTACAGAACTCAGCAAGATAGTGACACTCCTGCCAGAATACATATATGGCTCATAAGTAGCTTTGCTGCATGACTGATAAACAAGAATCATTTTAAGAAAGTTACTGCTTCCTATTCAACTTCCAAGGGGCATCTATTAACACTTTAAGAGATCATGCTTCAGAACATTTCTTCTATATTGTCAAAATTCCAAGTTATTAAGATAAGAAAAAGACATTCAGAACTAAGCAGCTGCTAGTTTTAATGCATCCTTCCTATCTGGAAAGAACAGGAAGATAAGAAAGACCATAAATTCACAAAACATAGGGTTAATTAGGAACACACACTAGCAAGGCTTTTTCATCTTAAGGTGTGATAGACTTTGAATAGGCTATCAGGAACAGTGTTATGGGGTGAGTGAACTTGGCAAAGCACATACGAGCATATCAATCAGCAGACTGAGAGTTCATTTAACCTCTGGGACAGAAATATATCTTCAGATGAGAAGCTGTGGAGAAAGCAGTTCCTGGACAGTTACATCCAGCTGTGAGTATATATTGTACCGTTTTTTAAACAGGTAACTTTTTGTATTATTTTACTCTTATTTAGATCCCCAAGCTAGGGCATAAATAGTGGGAAGGCTTTCTTTTGTCTGAATGTGGTTAGCTAAATCAGGAGGAGAGTGTTTAAGGTATGTCAAGATTTAGACAAAACAGACAAATTTTGTCAAAGAGTGCACAGTTATGATAGCACAGCAATATCCTGCTGATGAAAAATGTTACACTAGAAGTATGTAGAAAATAGAGTTAGTTCACAAAGGAGTAATAAAAGGCTGAAAATTTGACTCTTACTGTGACACTAGCGAAAGGGGGTTTTTAAACTCATTCCAACATTTGTTTGATAAGCCAAGCTCAGAAGAAGAAAGTTAAATTGCTAAAATCTATGATAGCATGTTTAAAGAATGCTAGAAATTGAGTGATTTAAAGAGCAAAACAAGGCAAGTTTAAAGATTACTGTGAAGCCTTGTTGATCTAGACTTTACCAGTTTTCTACCAAAAACTTAGTGTTAGCATTGTATATTTTAAACAATAGCTTTTAAACATTGTAGGCAATACCTGAAAACCACAACCAGTTTGCAATTCGTAAGAGGACTTACTTTGACTGTTGACAGTTCTTGAGTGCGTTAATACACTTGCCTAGAATCAGGAGAGAGGTGTTTATATTGCCACTCTCTTTCAATCTATCACCTTCATTGCGGGTCTTGGTACATCTTTCTGAACCAGCAAGATCACACATTGACAATCTGAAAGCAGATAAGGAAAGCTAGTTTTATTTACCTTAGAAAATGCATGAACTATTCACTTTTAGAAACAATCACTTTTCTTAGAGGAAGAAGTTCTTGATCTTCATCTGCGTGAACACTTTCACCCTTTTCAATGTTGCTTCCCCAGTCAAATTTCACACTACTTCCTGCCAAACCCTTTCCCAAAACACTTCCTATTCTGCCTCCCCTCCCCCCCATCCTCTTCCTTCTGAGGACTTACACGAGTTCAGGAATATAGCAGGCTAGCAGAACCTTGTGCTGCACAGAGGGGACAAGATATAGAACAGCATCGCAACCTGATGGCTTGAGGTAGAGGGCCAAGTACTTCATGAGTGTAGGAAGTGGGGAAGCCACCATACATGCATGAGGCTCTACCAGGGAGCACTGGGTGTATAGTGCAGTACCAGGACATCAACGTGGAAGATAATTGACAAATTCATCACAAAAGAAGAGGGGGACTCTGCTCGGAACTTACTCATTGACTCGGGTCACTCGTGGTGCTCCTGAATCTTCAATTTTTAATACCTTAACTGTGAATATGCTGTGACTAAAAAGGAGAAGTTTAAGTCAGCAGAGAAGTGAAAGTAGACCAACACCTTCAAAGTATTTTTAGCCTCCACAACATCTGTTCAAAGTGTTGTTGGATCTGTCAACATATCTAAGCATATACTCTATCAGATACAAACTTTTAAAGAGATATTTATGTAGCACTTATTTTGCTTTTTCCTCAGACATTTAGATGGACTAAAGCTAAGTACCTTTGCTTGAAGGAGAGTGATAAAATGCTGTTAGCTTTTGTACATATTCATCTTACTGAAGGATTGAATCCTTATGGCTTAAAGCATTGGGTCACATAATGCTAAAGGACACCAAAACTGAAACCTAGATATCTAGACCTTGTTAAAGCCTCTTCCCCTCCTAAAACCCACAAGCCATATTTTAATTTCTCCTTCCTTCCACACACCACCCTATGCCCAGTGTTATTCAAAATGTTTCTCACCTTCTGCTGGAGCAAGTATTAAGTTTCGTGCTTGCAATACTCTGGTGTTTCAACCCCAGTTTTAGAAGTCTAAAAGCTTCTTTAGAATCAGAAATCTGAACCCACTGCAGATCTTTAGGAAGAACAAACATGATAATCTTGTAAATATCATTATCAAAAAGAAAGAAGGGATTGGGGGATAATGTATGCACACCAAGAATAATACACTTACTTGAGACAAAAAAATTTTACTAAGCCTGCTTCTGACAGAAATTATATGATGACAAATAAGATCAAGATTCCTCCTTCTACAGGAAAGGAAGGACAAGTATATCACATCACTTCATCCTATTAGCACACTAAAATATGTTCCATCCAAATTAAGTGAACAACCTTAGCCCAAGCACCGAAAAGCCAAAAGGTAGGGTCTAATACAAGTATGAAAGCTCTATGTTCATATTCATCAAGGCAGAATTCTAATTGGACATCTTCTCTGTTTTAGCCTACAATTTGGGGGGGGGCGAGAGGGCGCAGCAGGCAGGAGTCACCTGGATATCTTTCAGGGCCATCAACTTCAACTGAAAAAGATCAGTGAAGAATTTTGTCAGCAATATGATGCCTGTATGTCATCTTGGTATGTGCTAGAGTAAATACCTACAACCATACTAATAGAACTTATAATGTGAACATTATGGACTCTGTTAAACTAGAGATCACCAAAATTGTACTAGCAAAAATACCAGCTGTTACCAAGAACAAGAAGATCATTAACTGGTTTTCCCTCAACAACATCAGGAACAGCCTTACACTTCCAAGCTTTATAAAAAAAGATTATGCTGAAGCAGAGCTTAAAGCAGACTATTTCCTACTTCACACATTTTCTAGTCTTTGAAGAAATGAAGGAGTTGGGTTTATTGTCCAATTCAGCTTTTTGAATCTATAGTTTGGCATCTGAAAGATAAAAGCAGCAGGCCAAACACCTACAAAAGCCTTTAATCTAGCATTGGTGTCTCGATTGTACAAAGAACCTGTAACAAATCAAACAGGTTTCAAACCCTAGTTTTTCCATGGCCAGAAACAAACATTGAACTGTTATTTTGAGTTCTGTTAACTCCCCACCCCCCCAACCCAAAACAGATTACATTAAAGGTTTGATTAAACTAGAGTACTGTAAAACATAATTTGTAGTCAGACTGAACATTCTCACATTTTCTGAAGTCTGCTTCTCTACAGAAGGTACTAAAAAAGAGAACTGTTGAGCCAATTATAAGTATAGTTAAGAACTTTTGGAGTCTTTTTTTAAGAAAATGGAAAAAACTACTAACAAATTTGTCAATTGTTTTCAATATTTCTCCCATTTCAAAGAAATATCAAGGCAGTGGAGTGCACACAGGCTTTTAAGAGTTACAGTCAAGAATAAAGAGAAAACACTATAAAAGGTACAGATACTTCTATGTATGTAGATTGTTGCTTTTCATACTCAAGGTAGACAGCTCTAGTGCCACAGTGAATGCAGTTAGGAGTTTTCTAACCTAAAAAGAAACATTATTACAGGAAGACTGACTTTTCAAATTACACATTTAGCAATTTGCAGTGTATTCTAATCACCTTTTACGTAAGAACATCCTTTGATATCTTGAGCAAGGCGTAGTGTTTTTCTTTTCTTGTCATTTGATATAGGAATCAGTAGATCGTAAAAACATTCATTGTAAATCTCAAAAAATGAAACCCAAACAGAAAACTTAATGTAATCTTTCACACTTGTGCTAGATTGTTCCGAGTCTTTTAAGAGTTCTTCTAAATCTGTCAAGTACAAAATATTACAAGTCAATATAGGCCTAGTAAAGTGAATTTAATTTAAAAAAATTAAGTGAAAATTTATATTACAGCAGCATTCTAAAAAACACTTACCCCAAACAAAAATCCATTGAAGTTTTCCCCCCTTTTCTTAAGTATCTGGAAGTCACATGCTTATGCTACATATTTGCAAGAGACACCTACTCTACCACTTCCTTTTCTACTTGCAAACTCTATCAAACATGGTTAGATATTGATTATCTCTAACCAATAGATTAATTGGTTAGAATTATTCAAGTCTCTTCAATATCTTTAGAAGACAGAATTAAACTGACAAGTATGCTTCATTCTGACTTTTTAAAGCAAACCTAGTATCTAGATAGTTTTTAAATGCTAGAATTAAGTTTATCTAATTACATACAGGTACTCTAAAAGCCTGTCAGGATACCGCTAGGGTCCATAGCGTAAGTAGTACTACTTTTCCTTGCTATAGTTTAATCTCATTTAACACCTGTTCAGGTATTCTTGTAACCATTTTATCCTTGTGTTTTCTGCCCATATAACCTTCTCACTATCCAATTCACAGGTGTATAAAAGTGCTGAGTAGCATTTTATTATTAACATAGGCCAGAAGTCAGTTATGGACCTTAAGAAAGCTTCTTTGCCAGCTTTAATTGCAATTCTTTGATACAAAACATACCCTTAGAATCAGCTGGTGCTTTGTTGTTAGTGCTATTTTGATGGTCTACCTACAAAAGAGAACAGAGACTTTAAGATACATCGTTGACAGTACATCGCCAGTATACCACCTCCAGCTCTACTGTCCTACTGGACAGGAATACGGCATAGTTGCAATAAGCCAATACAAAGGTCCTGGCTGCACATCATGCCTAGTTCAATGCACCTGTACACTCCTATCAAAAGGGTTGTTCTTACCTTAATACTCATTCCTGACGCTTCCCTTAAAACAGGCCCTAACACAGTATATAGCATTTCAGCTCGCTGAACCAGAAGAAAACTAGCCACAGGAAGAGAGAGGTGGGAGCCCATACAGAAACAGGGTGATTTAACAAGAGTATTTACAAGAGTCCAGTTGCAGGGTACACATTACTCTTAACCTGGTGAATCTAGAGAGCCCTGAAATTTTTTATTATTGGTATTTTGCTAATTCAGGATTCCATATCTTATGGCTTACCAGGTCAGCCCTCAGAAACAGAGGTAAATGTAGAACACTCTTCACTTAAGAAATTAAGCAAGCAACTTATTGCTTCATGATACAATGTACAAGCCTTTCACAGCTGAAATAAAGTCTACGTTTTAGAAAGAGAAGGAAAATTTTCTTCTGCTGAGCTCTTTTGGCAAAAAAATGTAGAACAAATGCCTACAGCTAGATCTTATGAGGTTCATACACATACACTCCGTTCCCAGTCTTCATTTTTTTTGGTTGTTTTTTTTAGGTACAGAGCTGCAAAGAAGTGCAACTCATCTACCAATATGCTTAAGAGAAGAAACATGGTTTAGAAAACAGCTGTGGTTTGGGTTGGTTTTTTTTTTTTTTAAATGTTTTGTCAAGAGTATATTTCATACAAAGCTGGGATTCCATAAAGCAATTCCTGAAATAGTTAAATATTTATGTAATCAAAACTTTATGTTTAAACTTTACACATATAAAACACCCACCCAAACCTGTCTCTGTTGAAGTAGATGCAAACTTTGCCACCAAATTTATAAGCTAAAGTATTGTTCTTATAACCACAGTTTTAGCAACTAGAGGGGACATATATGTGTATTCAAACACACATACGTGACAGGTTTTTCTGAAGCACTTAAGGACTGCTAGAGCAAGATTTAACATATGCCTGTCCTTTTGAAGTGAAGTCTTGAAGAATTTTGCTGCCACCTGCCTTCCACACTGGAGAAGTCCGGTTAACTAACTCATGGATAAAAATCAAGGCAACAGACATACTCCATCCCACAACTGCCAGAACACCCCATTATAACCTAACATACTACTAGGGAGATGCTTAATTCTTTTCATTAAAATTAACAGAGCATAATAATCCCTTTCTAGTTCTAATTCCTAGCATATGATCCGTTTTTTTATATTATTCCATTCATTTCAGAATTAAAAACACCAAGAAAAAGGTAGCTTATACAAAATACAAAACCCCATAACTGTAATTGGGCTAAACAGCTTTAGAATTCCTGGCAACTCATAAAACTGAAGTGTATTTCTGGACTGCTCAATAGTGATCAGTTTAAGACTAAAGTCCAGTGGAAACCCATTTTAATTCAAATATTTGGAAGTCCACTGGCTTTATAGCTCCTGTTTCAAAAAAAAAAAGTTTGCTTCCTTTGAGGATATTTGTCAAACTGGAAGAGGGGAACAACCTCAAGAGTCATTAATTTCTTTCAAGTATCCTGCAAGACAGTAAATTGTTTAAAGGAGCAGACCTACTAGCGTCCTCACAGATAGAGAGACTATTTGCATTCAGTCCTTACTAAACATCAGTAACCCCAGAGGATAATTATCAGGGTGCCCAAGATATAGAAAAAAAAGCTTAGAGTTTACATCCTATCAAGTATTTAGCCACAAGACGGAAATCCACAGGAGAACAGGGTTCATCAGCTCTATTGTTCTCTTTACTGCTAATCTGAGTAGCTGGCTGACAGCAAGTAGACACATCCATGCTTAAATACAGATAGTCTCTTCCCATTGAGAAAGGAACAGGGTAACATTGAGCTATCTAAAGATGTGCGTACTCATTAGTATAGAAAGAAGTGCTCCTCTACCTCTTTTGTTAGGCGAAGTATCGAATTTTTAATAGCAGTTTCTTCTCTCACTTGGTCTTTAGTCAGCTTGATATAATCTCTACACCGATGGGGTTTGAGATCCATTGCTGTGTATAGCTTTCCTTGAATACTTTTAAACAACATATCCATAGTCCTTGGCAGAATACCAATGTCATCTTCTGTCCCTGTAAGCAAAAGAAAGTTCCCAATTATTACTGTGAACAAGGTATAAAGATAAATGAAGACAGAAAGATAAACAATTCTAATCTCAAGGCATACATGCGGAATTTGGAGGCCACTTACAGCATGAAGCAGTGTTTTTTGTATTCTCAAGGTAACAGAAATGTCAGAGTGTTTTGAAAGGTATTTGGCTTTCAGCAACAGCTCATGCTCCACCCCTTAGACAGTAAGGGACATAATACAAAAACTGCTGGGGTATTCTGCATAAGCTTAGCCTTAAGAGGAAAAAAACCTAAACAAACAACAGACACTTAGAGATTTGCAGTTTTTCAATCGCATTTCATAGGCTGCCTTCACTCTCTCTCAGAAGTAATCTTGAAACACAACTGATGACCGATACCTCAGCTGCAGTCCTGCACTAATTCCACAGACCCTACAAAAAAGTTCTAGGAGCCTTGTGAAGACTCACTCCTTTCCCTGCCCCAGACCCTTTTCTCAAAGCATACCACTTTTGCACCTGAAAGGCAAAAAGGAGTCAAATAAAAGCCTCAGTGCACGCTTAATCTTTCTAAATCCAGATGCAAGTTTAAAAAGGGTTCACTTAACTTTGATTTCTAAACCAGAGAGAAGAAGGGGAGGGAGGGGAGACTGGAAGAGAAACTACTGTCCTGTCTCAGACTCTGACAGCATCATCGTCCAGCCTCTGATAATTTCTCCTACTCCTGTGACAGGTGGGCTTTTATCAGTTACAGCACTAGCTGTGTTGCCCAAGTCAGAACCTACGTAAAATCCGGTTGGCCCTCAAACACCAAGCTAGCAGCCAAATAACATATTAAGTTAAAGTACTGTTGCATTACATTTGTTTCTCCTCATCTCCTCTCTTCTCTAATCATTTTTTGTTTATTGCAATGCCACTTGTAATTCAACTTAACATGAACAAAGTAACAGTCACTGGTGAACAATGAACAGTCCTAAAAAACTGCTTCATCCTTCACTTAAGTCCTTTGCCATTTACAGAATACAGGCTCCCATGTAATGCTAAAGTGGAAAGGCTATATTGACAATACTGGGAATAACAGAAGAGGAAATCGTGGCACTCAGTAGACAACATTCTGCCCTGCCAATTCTTATCACAAGTTGATAGTTAAATCCTAAAAACATAATACCATGAAAAAGTCTCCAGAGTCTGAAAAGATGTGAATCAAAAAATTCTTGATAAACCATACCACACAACATACCCCAAACTAGTCAAGCGTGGGGGACTGTACACATTAGGAATTTTGGGGTTTGTTATTTACCTATTTTTTTTAGGACAGGAAAGAGCATCCCATTATTGCCTCAGATTAATTGTAACTGAAAGTACTGGCAGTAGACTTCAGCTATAATCCACCTAACAGAAGATCACTTAGAAAACAATGTCACTTCAATAAAGCTCAGTTTCATATGGCACAAAATTCATTGTCCTTCTACTACTTCTGTGTATAAAATTAGTATAGCACCTAGAACTGCCATTTCATTACGGGAGAAATTGTTTCCATGTGAATCAAATCACCTCATTTGCTAAAATGCTTTGAAAAATAATTAAAGAATGACATCATCTGACCAGAAAGGATATTGAGCTTTAACAGTACTGAAATAGTGCATCAGGAGACAAGGTCTCCTAGGATATTATCAATAAGCTCAGAAACTTGAGACAAGACAGAAATACTTGAAAGTGGTCAAACATGTTTCAAAATGTTTATTCTCTGCCTGTAATAATTGAAACAGACTTAAATACTATTTCTCATTTGAAGACAGTGCATGTAAGATGCATACAACCTTTATAATAACAAAAAATAACAAAATGCTAGTCTGGTGTAGAATTACTTACACACTTTTCACATCCTGATATATAGAAGATGTATTTTCCTAACACCCCTTCCGCTCTCATATTCTAGATACTTGGAGGAGAAAAAAAAACCATCTGGTTGAAATTATTATAGCCTTTCAAAGCAATATCACTATATGTTTATGTAAACTCTGGCAGTGACTCATTGTCAGTTTAGTGATATTTGTTACGGAAGGAGACTTTCAAAGGCTATTTATTAACATTCAAGAGAAGCCAACGTATAGGGCCTACAGTTTAAATAAAGAAAAAGTTATAATATTTCTATTAGAAGCAATCCTCGGTTTAAAAAAAAAAAAGAAAGTTCATTCAAGGCAAACACATTTCTACTCATACCTTGAAATGTGTAGGTTTTCCCAGCATTTGTAACGCCATATGTAAAAATAAGACGATTATATCCATCTAAGAAATCTTGCACTGGTTGCTTCATGGTACCTTCAAAGAATTCTTCCTGAGTCGTTTCAGGTCCAAACACCTGAGCATTACCAAGAAACATCTTTATTTTGTTTAAGCAATCATTAGTGACTTCTAAAGAATCTTTTAAATTCTATATGTTTATAACCTTAAAGACTATTGACAGTTAAAAAATCTAGTTTGTTTGGTATCAAATAATATAAGTTAAACAACTTTTTCCAGGAATAAATTAAAAACTTTTAATGACAATTCATTTACTCTTGAAAAAGTGAATTTCTGTATCGTCTGTCCAGCATTTTTTTCACTTAGTCGACTCAAAGAGTTTTTGGGGGGCTTCAGTATGATGCTTGTTGAGTCTTCAAGTGAAATGCAGTCCTATTAAAAGGAAGCACAAGCAATGCAGGCATTAAAAGCTTACAGGAAAAAACCCCATACATTTAAAGTATTTTTAAACTAAGTAAATGTCATACCTGCAATTCATTTTCTCTTTCTAACAATGTAAGTGGCCTAATTCGCAGGCAAACTTGTATGTGTCCCTTAGACTCCAAACTGCTCTTCTTAAATAAAAAAAAAAATTAAGGAAGTTAGAAGTTTGACTAGATTCTTTGTTTGATAGCTAGCATATTAAGGCAGTTTTATTTTCATCATTATTTGAACAGACTTATTTGATGACACAGGAAGCAAAAGTGATTTACTACATCAGTTTTTACAAGTGCTTAGGCCCCTGCAGAAGTTCACTGTGACAACTTAGAGTTAATAATCTTGCAGCATGTGTAGACACACACACCATTCAGGCCAACTAGAGATCAAGAATGAAACCCACAAAAACATTCTGTGATTAAGGTGCGCTGAACCGGCAATTAGTCTCATTCACAGAAGACTGATGCACCCAATAAGGTATCAGTGCAGTGCCACACAACTTAGCCTAATCCTATGTATCTCCTCCAAATTAAAAACATACTAAAGATGCTTTTCATCTTCTCTGTAAAATTCTGATTATTCTTATCAATGAAAGAACTAAGCTTATCTAAAAAAAAATCCAAACAATGCAAACATTAAAGCTTTCTTACCTGGCTTGTGTCTGAGCTTGAAGAAACCAAAGAAAATTCAGCAGAGAGATCTGCTTTAATATCTTCCACATTTACTAGTCCTGTTCTTTCAGGCGGCTCAATACTAGCAATATAGGATGGTCTGAAAAACTTCTCATTATCTGAAGTCAGTTCCATCCTGCAAGATAAAATAATTGATCACAGAATGTAGAGCTTCTGAAGTCCCTTAGAAGACAAGTCAATTTGAGACCAATAGCTGCAATTTCTTTAAGGAGAAAGCTTTCTTCATCCTATTCATAATTTACATAGCAAGTTTCTGATAGCTGGGGAGGGGGTCTGCAGAGGAGTTCACATCATGATAAAACAAGAACAGCCATTCTTCTTTCAATGAAAAGCAACTGTTCACCAGGGAAAAGCCTTACACATATATCACAGCCTTGCTAAAAACCCATGTGTGAAAAGAAAGCTATAACTTAAGAAGAAACAATCATATCGTTCCACATCCACTTCTCCATCATCCCATTATAGTGTCCATTTAGAATAAAAGCTCATTGCAAGAGTAACCCAAACTTCATGGTTATCTCTGCAGGACCTGATAAATAGTTGGTATTATAAAGATAACATAATGTAGTTTAATACAAGACAGTTCAGAAACATTCCAAAGACTAATAGTTTTAGCTATTAAGAGGACACTGGAAAATTAGAAGACCTTGTGCCAGAGTACAAGTTAAAGTATTGTTTTTTAGTCTTTTTTTTTTTTTCAGTCATTTTACAGATCAGCAATTCATTTCTTAATCCATAATTTAATTATTTTTGTGCATCTCAGAATCTGGGCAGTGAAAATTTGCTATAGAAAGTGAAAGTAAATTGATTCAGTGTTGATAGTAGACAGGTAAATTCCAAAATAACCTTTAAAAAATGCATTTTATTTAAAAATATTAGTATATTTTGTCTGCCCTTTACTCTCCTATTCCTTTTTCCTGTGATATTACAGATGTGACTTGGCAGCTTTTGTTATGGATTAAGTTTAAAATAACTCATTGGGCAATTACTCATAGACTACGGCAGCAAGTGTTCTAGCAATTAGACACCTACCACATGGCCTCCTACAGTTTTGAAGCTTTGGACACAACGATTCAATGGTCTTCTAATACTACATTCCTGTGTCTATGCTACAGCAATGGATATACGTTGTCTCTCTAAACACTAATGAAGAACACACAGTGTTCATTAAAACAATGGGCAGACCAGGGCTGGCTCAAAGCCCCTTTGCTCGGAAGAGTATTGCCTATTAAGCAGTCATAACGTTTTTGTTCCCCTCAGCATAAAACCTGGAACACGTCAGCACTTCAGTGTCAAAACACTTAACAGCTCAGCCTTCCTATCTAGCCTGTAAAAGGCAGATACGGAACTTCATGAAGCTAGACGAACATCGCCAAGCTGCAAATGAGTTAAAGCTATACATGAACTAAGCAGCAATGTTTACTTTGTTTCTTCTAATCTGCAGTTTTTATTTTTGTCAGGCAACTGTATGAAAACCAGGAAAAACTTGGCCTGAAATGTCTTGAACAAACACTGACCTGTCAATAAGCCACTACTGGAAAGAAACATACCTGTGCTGTCACCATCTAGAAGTCTTCTCATCAGCTACACAAAGTCATACTGCAAAACCCTTATCAGACCTTGACAGGAAACATATTTCATAGAATCATAGTTTGGGTTGGAAGGGACCTCTAAATGTCATCTAGTCCAACCCCCCTGCCATGGGCAGGGACATCTTCAACCAGATCAGGTTGCTCAGAGCCCCGTCCAGCCTGACCTTGAATGTTTCCAGGGATGGGGCATCCACCACCTCTCTGGGCAACCTGTGCCAGTGCTTCACCACCCTCAGCATAAAAAATTTCTTCCTTATATCTAGTCTAAATCTACCCCCCTTTACTTTAAAGCCATTCCCCCTTGTCCTGTCACAAGAGGCCCTGCTAAAAAGTCTGCCCCCATCTTTTTTATAAGCCCCCTTTAAGTACTGATAGGCTGCAAGAAGGTCTCCCCGAAGCCTTCTCTTCTCCAGGCTGAACAACCCCGACTCTCTCAGCCTTTCTTCATAGGAGAGGTGTTCCATCCCCCTGATCATTTTCGTGGCCCTCCTCTGGACCCGCTCCAACAGGTCCACGTCTTTCTTATGCTGTGGGCTCCAGAGCTGGACACAGTACTCCAGGTGGAGTCTCACCAGAGCAGAGTAGAGGGTATAACTGACATTTTAGTTACTTTAAGTATAAGCTTATTTTAAGAAGTGTGATTTGTCAAGATTACACTCTCATTCTGTGCCTCTTCACATAAGAGGGAAAAGACAAACATGAAGCTATGTATGCAAAGCTGGAACTGAAAGTCTTCTTATGAGCCCAGCACTCAGACCAGTAATGTTCAACCACTGACAGCATGCATAACCCAAGATGCAGACTGTCCATCTGTCTCCACATTGTCCTACAGCACTGTTATTGCCTTAGATATTCTGGTGTAAACAGGTATATTGATTGTCTGGTTGTAGCCACTAAAAGGTACTTGTATACTGGGATGCATTATTGTAACTCTGCTTATCATGACAATAGAGTCTAGAGCTGCAGACACCCCAAGAGAAGGGGATCCAGAGCGGCACGCGCAGCAAAGCGCGGTCACAGCGCACGCACAGCCTGTAGCGCCGCCAGGCAGCACAAGAAAGGGTAGAAAAGGCTCCAAACCACACAATAAGCCTAGCAGCTCATATAAAACATCAGCCCTTACACTTAAGAAAGTTAAAAAGGAACGTTTTCCCTCTGCGAATATCAATCTTTCACTTCGAGGCTTTGCGCTAGGTTCCCGTTCTTAGGGGACGCTGCCGCATGGCCTTATCAGCATCACGGCCCCGGGCCGGGCGCTACCCGCGACTTGCGCGCCCCACAGCGATACCGAAAAGTTTTCGCCCACCGCCCGTGACTTTTCACCCACCGCAACGCCAGTAACCGCGACTG